TAACATTGGCCGTATGTTTGGGGTTGTTGAATAAATTTGGGGCCAATCACACACCTCTGTGATGGCATGATGGATAAGTATCTGCCTGCATTTCTCAGCAGTGAGGACACCATTGATCCTGACCAAATCACCTCAATGTGAAGAAATGCAACCCCAAACATAGAAGGAACCTCCACCATGCTTCACTGTTACCTGCAGACACTCATTGTTGTATCACTCTCCAGCCCTTCAGCTATAAAAATTTGACTTTTGCTACAGCCACATATTTAAAAATTTGACTCATCAGTCCAGAGCACTTTCTGCCATTTTCTGCACCCCAGTTCCTATGTTTTTGTGCATTGTTGAGTTGCTTGGCCTTGTTTCCTTGACAAAGGCAAGGTATTTTGGGCAGAAATTCTTCCATGAAGACCCCTTCTGGCCGGACTTCTCCGGACAGTAGATGGGTGTACCTGGGTCCAATGGTTCCCTCCAGTTCTTTGCTGATGGCACTGCTGCACATCTTCTGATGATGAAGGGAAGTAAGCAGGATGTGTCTTTCATCAGCTGTATTACATTTCCTTGGCTGACCACAGCATCTACCGTCCTCATTGTTGCCCATTTCTTTGTACTTCAAAAGAGCTTTATGAACTGAATTGATGCTGGTTTGAAGCCAAAGGGTAATCACACCAAATATTGATTTGATTTAGATTTATCTTCTGCTTGTTCACTTTGCATTTTGTAAATTGATAAATATAAACAATTAAAAAATATATTTTTAAAAGCATTCTTACTTTACAGCATTTCTTCACACCTGCCTATAGAACTGTACATATTTATATACCTCTTTGAAAAATTTAATTTTGTGATAGATGGACACTGTTATATTTAGCTCTGTAAATAGTATTTTAAAACGGATTTATAATGGGATACATTTAGGTCTTTTCAGGCTGTTGAAATAACCAGAGCTTAAAGTAATTGTAAACCCTCACTTTGAAAAACAACCCATTCAGTTTAAAATACAAATGAATGGCTGGGGTGAGTGTGAGAATATTTATGTGAACACATTTTAGGGATAATTGTAGTTCAGCTTTAACCACCTTCCGCCTGCCACATAGTCCAATGACGGACGCAAGGTAATTCTCTCGTTCTGGGAGGACGTCATATGACGTCCTCCCATTCTCATCGCGCATGCACGGCTCAGGGAGTGCGCAGCGTGGTGATCGGCGGTGCGCTGTGTCCCTCGGACACAGCGGATCACCGATCTATGGAAAGAGCCGAAGATGTCGGCTCGGTCATGTGATCAGCTGTGTCCAATCACAGCTGATCACATGTAAACAGGGAAATGCCGGTTATTGGCATTTCTCTCCTCACAAGCTGTCACGCTGACAGCTCAAGAGGAGAGGAGAGAGCCGGTAATCAGCATTTCGTGGAGGGGACATGTACACTGATCATCAGGGCACTGATGATCAGTGTGGCCCCAGAAGTGCCACCTGTCAGTGTCCATCAGTGCCAGCTGCCAGTGCTGAACAGTGCCACGTGCAAGTGCCACATCAATGCCATATATCAGTGCCTACCAGTGCACATCAATGCCACATATCAGTGCCTATCTGAGCTGCCTTTCAGTGTCACCCATCAGTGCCAGTCAGTGCCACCTATCAATGCCAATCAGTGCCACCTATCAGTACTGCCAATCAGTGCCACCTATCAGTGCCAGTCAGTGCCGCCTATCAGTGTGCATCAGTGCCACCTATCAGTGCCCCTATCAGTGCCGCTATCAGTGTGCCAGTGTCTCCTATCAGTGCCAGTCAGTGCCACCTAACAGTGCCGCCTATCAGTGCCATATATCAATGCTGCCTTTCAGTGCCCATCAGTGATGCCTGTCAATGCCCATCAGTGCCACCTACCAGTGCCTCCTCATCAGTGCCCATCAGTGCCACCTATCAGTGTCCATCAGTGCAGCCTATCATTGCCCATCACTGCAGCCTCATTAGCGCACATCAGTGAAGGACAAAAATCACATAATTACAAATTTTACAACAAAAACTAAGAAAAAAACATTTTTTTTTCAAAATTTTCAGCGGTTTTTGGTTTGTTTAAGAAAAAATAAAAAACCCAGAGGTGATTAAATACCACCAAAATAAAGCTCTGTCACAAAAAAATGATAAAAATATCATATGGGTACAGTGTTGCATGACCGCGCAATTGTCATTCAAAGTGTGAGAGTGCTGAGAGCTGGAAAATGGCCTGGGCAGGAAGGGGGTATAAGTGCCCTATAGGCTTGTGGTTAATGTCTCTTCTGTTTTTCTGTGGGGTTTTTTTGTGTTTATTTTTTTGCAATTATTATCTTCATTTTAAATACAGTTTTTAAATATCTGTCACTATTGTTTTTTCTTTTACCAGGAGGTATCGTTTTAACCTCTTCGCACCGGCAGCACGCAAATGTGCAGCCTCCCGGTGTCTGGGCCTTGACGCCAAGCGGCAGCACATGTGTGTGCAATTAAGAAAAACATATGTGCTGAGAGTTCACCCTGCGTGCTCCCAGCACACATGTCCGGTACTCAAGGAAAGGTCCTGATCTCCTCTTTCGATTGGGACCTTTCCCGATCATGTGACCGCAGTGACAGCAAATCACGGCGGTCACATGACCCTAAAACCCCACCCCGCCTCCCGGTTTCTGAAACCCTTAAAGGGCCAGGAGGCTCTGGCGTCAAGAGGTTAAGCTGAAGTTGAATCTGCTTTTATTTTACCCTTCCTGCTTCCTACTTTCCCCTTTCAATATGAAAATTAACATTTTGAAATAAACCCTTTCAGATTGCATTACATACCTTATTTTAGACCCAGTGATGTTATCACTAGGTCTCTGTGCTTCTCTGTACAATGCAGGCAGATAATGTCTGATGGGAGGGGCTATGTATAAGGCCCTGAAAAAATCACAACATGCTGCCTCAGTACTCCTCTCAAGAAGGAGTTAAGCAAATATCAAAATGACTTAATGGGTGGATGTCAATCTGGAGGACTAGAAGTACCTAGACACGGTGCATTTTACTGCAAACCAACCTAGGTAACATCCACATGTAATGCTGAGACTCTGTAATTGAAAGAATTGAAATCCAATTAATGAAAGGCTGGGAAAGAAATGGTACATGATTCTGGACGTCTTTAACCACTTGCCCTCCTGAGGATTTACCCCCCTTCCTGACCAGGCCACATTACGGCGCTGCATTACTTTAACTGACAATTGCGTGGTCATGCAACACTGCACTCAAATTAAATGTACATCCTTTTTTTACCCATGATTAGAGCTTTATTTTTGCGCTATAAAAAAAAGACTGACAATTTTGAGAAAAAAACTATATTTTTGACTTTTTGCTATTAACCACCTCCTGTCCAGCCAAACGGTGGCAGTGGAGGGTCGGGTGGCCATTTATAAACAGCCTCCCCGCCCCTTGCTTGTGCGCACTCCCTGGGAGCACGCAGTACCGCGATCTGGTGCCCGCTGTGTCCTCCGGACACAGTGGAACACTGATCGCCATACGGGACCTCTGTGCAAGCTCCCGATCATGTGATCATTGATTGGCCAATCAGTGATCACATGCAGAGTAGTAAGCAAGATGTTACTTCTGACATCATTGCTTACTACATGTGAAATCTGTGAATGAGCACAGAGGTCACATGGTACAAGGCTATTCACAACAGCCTTGTACCATGTGACAAGCTGTGACCAATCACAGCTCACACTGTAGTTCTCAATGGCTGCAAGAATGCAGCCAGAGAGGAGAAATGATTGCTTTTACAGCCTTTATGGGTGTAAAAGCAATCAGTGTAAAAAAAAAAAAAGAAAAAATCTTCATCACCCCCCACAAGTAGTGGTGACACTGTACTGCTAGGGTGACAGTATGTAAAAAAAATAATAATAATAATAATAATATAAAAAAAAATAAATAAAAATGTAAAAAAAAGTTTAAAAATTATAATTTTTGGTTATAAACTAATTTTTTTTTTTTTTGTTTACTAAAAAGATAACGGAATACATTTTGCCCAAGATTTACAATGAAAAATTATTTATTTGCAAAATTTTATAAGAAAAACACTATTTTTCAAAATTTTTGGACTTTTTCATTTACATAGCAAAAAAAATAAAAATCCCAGTGATGAATAAATAGCACAAAAATAAAGCTTTGACTGTACTTTTCCTGTGGATCACAGGAGTGCAGTTCGTTCTGCACTCCTATGACCCATTTCCAGCTGACAGCTGGTTTAAGCCCACTGTTGGCTGAAGTCACTCAGCCGGTCCAGGCTGGGGAAAGATCCCGACTTTAAAGTCGGGATCCACCCCAGAGCCTGGAGTGGCACCTGGCTCAGCCTCTCAGCAAGCCAATGAGAGCCTGAGCCAGCTGCTCCCTCCCCTCCACAGCCCAGCTCTCCATTGTAAATGCAATGGGGTTGATTTACTAAAATAAAATAAACTGTTCACTTTATAAGGAAAGTCGCACTTTGTATAAGAATTTTGTATTGTTTGGGAAATTCACTTTGCAAAAACTACCCATTCACTTGCAAGGAAAATTAAAAAACACCACATTTACTTGGCTCGATGATGGAAAATTCCCTTGCAAAGTGGACAGTCTATTTGCCTTTAGTACACCAACCCCAATGTGTGAATGTGCCCATGCCATTGTTATTGTCATTCATTCAACATACAAGATTGTTCAATTGTCACTTTGCAATCATTTCAGGTTATTTGTTCTATAGCATTGAGAGCACTGAGTTGACACGCAGGGTTAGCTCTAATGAGCGTTGAATGAGGAAGACAAATAATTGAGGAAGTCGTTACGTAGTCCAGTAAAGCAGTTTCAGAATCTCTTTCTAAAAACTACAGAGAGTTACGTTGCTTCCTCTTGTGTCATCAACACATTCTGACAACACCACACATGACCGAGGGCTGTGGGTGCTGAAAAGGCACCAACAGTTGTGTGGAGTATTCAAGTTTTGGAAGGACCTCTGATATCAGGGTAACCTCAGAGATGGCTCTTGTGGAAATTATGCGGCTTTGGAGTGAAGGAGTGGCTGCAGCAGACAAAGGGGACTGGACAGGAGCCCTGAAATCCTTCACCATCATCACAGAACCTAGAGCCAAGATCTGCTTCAACATCGGCTGTTGCCACCTTGTGATGGGAAATTTACAGGGGGCAGAAAAGGTGAGTAATGTTGAAGGAGAAATACCATTCATGTGTCATGGGGCTTAATGAGATACTAAAGACTCATTTACAATTGTGGTTGTGAACTAGGGGGGGGGTAGTAAAAACACACGATTGGGCCCCCTACTCTTTGAGCTGCAAAGGTAGTGGACATGGCCAGTACCACTTGTGGAATGCAAGCCATTCAAGAAAGGGCCACGCTGCAACCACCCTGCAACTGTGTGCAATGCCCTTGGTCATGGTGTAGCATTTAAAGGGTTAAAATAGATGGGTTAACACAGGCGGTGAGGAGGCAAGAGATCATGACGTGTAAAAATGGCCTAAGGGTAGATATTTATAAGGTCAGATTGCTTCATGATCTAAATCAGTGGTCTTCAAACTGCAGCCCCTGCAGTGAAACCCCTGATCCAAATAACTCAGTACTATGGCTATCCTAGTAACATGGAAGAGTCCATGCTCTCCATCTTTTTTGTGGAATTGAAGAAATTGGTGAACACAGACTATTCCTTCCACTGACACCAGCAGTGGGGCACTATTCTTCCCACTAACACCAATGATGGGGCACTATTCCTTCCACTGACCCCAACAATGGGGCACATTCATCCCACTAATACCAATGATGGGGCACTATTATTCCCACTAACACTGAAGATGGGGCATTATTCCTTCCACTGACCTCAATAATGGGGTACTATTCCTCCTACTAATACCAATGATGGGGCACTATTCCTCCTGTAATACCAATGATTGGGCACTATTCCTCTCGCTAATACCAATAATGGGGCACTATTACTTTCATGTATACTACTGATGGGGCACCAATCCTCCCACTAATACCAATGAAGAGCCACTATTCTTCCCACTAATAGAGTTGATGGGGCACTATTCCTCCCACTTATACCATTGATGGGGCACTATTTCTCCCACTTATACCATTGATGGGGGCACTATTCCCTCCTACTTATACCATTGATGGGGCACTATTCCTCCTACTTATACCATTGATGGGGCACTATTCCTCCCACTTATACCATTGATGGGGCACTATTCCTCCCACTAATACCATTGATGAGGCAGTATTCCTCCCACTGATACCAATGATGGGGCACTATTCCCCCACTAATACCAATGATGGGGCACTATTCCTCCCACTAATACCATTGATGGGGCACTATTCCCCCACTAATACCAATGATGGGGCACTATTCCCTCACTAATACCAATGATGGGGCACTATCCCCCCCACTAATACCAATGATGGGGTACTTTTCCTCCCACTGATACCATTGATGAGGCACTATTCCTCCCACTGATACCAATGATGGGGCACTATTCCCTCACTAGTACCAATGATGGGGCACTATTCCTCCCACTAATACCAATGATGGGGCACTATTCCCCCACTAATACCAATGATGAGGCAATATTCCCCCACTAATACCAATGATGGGGCACTATTCCCTCACTAATACCAATGATGGGGCACTATTCCCCCACTAATACCAATGATGGGGCACTTTTCCTCCCACTAATACCAAAGGAGGGAACCATTCCTCCCACTAATACCAATTATGGAACACTATTACCCTCACTAATATCAATGATGGGGCACTATTCTTTCCACTAACCACCACCTTGAGACTTTGTTTACTCCAACTGACTCTGGGACATTTCCTACTCCCTCTAATCCAGCAATGGGCAAACTACGGCCCGCGGGCCGTATACAGCCCGGCGGACCTTTTAATCCGGCCCGCGGAGCTAGGCTCCCGCTAGGCTCCTCTCACAGTCCGCCCTGAAGACCGGTGTAGCATGAAAATCTGTCTCCTATGAGGATCTGTCCCCCTCGACGTATCTGCGCATGTGCCGGAGATCGCCGATCGGCTGCTAATGCCTGAAACTGGCACATGCGCAGATACGTCGAGGGGGACAGATCCTCATAGGAGACAGATTTTCATGCTACACCGGAGCGGCGCGGGAACACGGCGAGAGGAACGCGCGGAGCAAAGGTAAGTGAATTGACACAGGGGGGACTTGGGGACTTAATATGGGGGATGAATAAATATGGGGAATGAATTACTATATGGGGGATGAATTACTATATGGGGGATAATTACTATATGGGGGATGAATTACTATGGGGGATGAATTACTATATGGGGGATGAATTACTATATGGGGGGATGAATTACTATGGGGGATGAATACTATATGGGGGATGGGGGATGAATTACTATGGGGGATGAATTACTATATGGGGGATGAATTACTATATGGGGGATGAATTACTATGGGGGATGAATTACTATATGGGGGATGAATTACTATGGGGGATGAATTACTATATGGGGGATGAATTACTATATGGGGATGAATTACTATATGGGGGATGAATTACTATATGGGGATGAATTACTATATGGGGGATGAATTACTATGGGGGATGAATTACTATATGGGGGATGAATTACTATGGGGGATGAATTACTATGGGGGATGAATTACTATATGGGGGATTAATTACTATGCTTACTATGGGGGAATATTACTATACTTACTATGGATGACACATACACATCATTCATCTACTCTTGGTCCGGCCCCCGGGTCCAATATATGAACCCATTGCGGCCCTCAAGTCAAAAAGTTTGCCCCACCCTGCTCTAATCCCATAACATTTGAAATATAGTAAACTGGCCCTTTGTTTAGAAAGTTTGGAGACCCCTGATTTAAATAATTCAGATCACATAAGGCTATCCTGGTAACATAGAAGAGTCCATGCTCTCCGTCCTTTTACAGATTGGAAGAAAATGCTGAACACAGACCTCCCATTATATAAACTTACCTATGAAGAAACCACTGAAATTTTAGCTTATCCACGCCCCCCCGGATCAAATCTGATTGTATCTTCTCTATGCAAGACTCTGGTGTTGCATGATTTCCACCTTTTTGTTAACATGTAGAGGTCATTGCTGGTTTACCCTTTTGCTGACTGAGCCATTTTTGCATTTTTTTTTTGCACACAGGTTAAAAAAAATAATTTTAGGCCTGAAGATTTAGTTAAAAACATTATATGTTTTCTGAAAGCGGAGACCCTGGAGAATAAAATTGCGGTAGTTCTAACATTTCCATAGGCAATACTTTAAAAGCCCCTACAAGTCATTTGTTTAGGGTTGATCATGAATAATGGCCCTAACATTTTTGCCTTCACCCTGGTGTGGATGGTGATATGTAATGTGTAGCACAATCAATATTTTTTGTACACAGACACACCTAGCTTGTGCATTTATATTCATATGCGTGTATATATGTGGATGGACTCCAATTTTTTTTTTTTTTTTTGGGGGGGGGGGATGGGTAGTTGGGTGTAACTTTATTTTTTTTTTTACACTAAAACTTTATTTATATCACAAAGCAGACCAGACATCTCCCATTGGATACAAATTTGTTGTGACAGATACTCTTTATTAAGACTTCAGAGGCCTATTTGACCCCTAATGTACCAGAGGTGAAAGGAAGTGATTGGAAGAGCTGTACAGCTGGGGGGTGTTTTCAAATCCCTGCTACTGCTGACATATGACATACGTCAGTGAAAGGGTAAACTTTATACAATCCTTGTTTGCTACAACTGTGGCCATATTGACTTCGACAATTTTGTAAATGAGACACAATAAGGATTGTTTCATTTTACAAATTGTTTGACTTGTTTCTGTATTGCTATTAAACTCAATAAAAATAATAACTCAATACAACAGTATTGGCAGTATTCAGGAATTAATTGTTCATCAAGTTCTACATTCATAAAAAAAGTGCACCATTAGTTGCATTAAGTGCAAAAAAAGTATAAAGCCAATCACATGGGAAGGAAATTACATTCCAATGGTACTCAAGGGTGTACAAAAGCATATTTAAGAGTTAAAGACCAACTACAACCAAAATGTTTTTCTGTTGGGATATTTTTTCTGTCTGTGACTCCATTGGGGAGTTTTTTCATCACTCTTTGTCCTTGTATCCTCAAGTGGAAAAGAAATTGTCATCAGGAAACAAAATTAAAAATCTAAGAGAGAGTCTATTCCTTCCCCACAATATACAAAACAAAGTAAAACATTTTGGATAAAGTTTTAATAGTTATCCATGGTTTTCAGAAGAGTCGTAGATGAGATTATGTTTAATTCTACCTCCATAATACTGTTGGTTTTGTTATATATATATATATATATATATATATATATATATATATATATATATACATACATACATACATACATACTGTACACTATATGTTGCATGTTTCAAAAGTTATTTAAAAAGAGGAATTGGCCTGTCTGGTACACAACTGTTAAACATAAATCACCAATATATACAGTATATTTTCCAGGGAAGGCCATAAATTAAATTAATTTAGAAGGGTAATAATCAGAAAACAATTGAAGCTGTTACCTTACTAAAAAAAATAAAATGGCTTTATTGATTGCAACATTTTTTAGTCAGCTGCTTGAGTTTGCTGTAGTTTTAGTAAGTTAGGCCCACTGAGTCACATCTAAACAAATCTGAAATGTAGAATACCTAGCCCAGCACTATTAACACGTAGCTCGTACATTAGGTCCATCTTGGTAATGCCGAGCTGTCCAGAATAACCGCATATTCTGATCTGCAGAAACTTCCTAGGTAATATGGGTCAAGCACCTTCCCCCTGCCAAATCCTAGGCTTTACTATTTTTATTTATTTCAGGTACTTATATAGCACCATCATTTTACACAGTTCTTTACATGTATATTGTGCATTCACATCAGTCCCTAACCTTCAAGGGGCGCACAATATGAGGTCCCTCACATTCATATATACACATAATAGGGCCAATTTAGACAGGAGCCAATTAACCTACCAGCATGTCTTCGGAGTGTGGGAGGAAACCAGAATACCCGGAGGAAACCCACACAGGCACAGGGAGAACATGCAAACTCCAGGCAAGTGGTGCCAAGGTTGAGATTCGAACCAACAACCCTAGTACTGCCAGATGGAAGTGCTAACCATTTACCCTATAGGTCTGTTGCTTTTATGGGAGTCTTCACTGGCCAATAGTGAGGCATAAGATGATCTAGAAAGCAGGGCCACTACAGGTTTGTTTAAAAAACTACAAGGTTCAACTTTAAAGCACAACATTAAATAATGATTATTTTATAACACGTACAAACATTGCTGTCTTTTAGGCCTTCACTAGTACTGTTGAGAAAGACAAACATTTGGCTGTGGGGTATTTCCAGCGCGGCTCCGTCTTCTTCAAAGAGGGAAAGTAAGTAATAGTACAGGCTACAATATGTTTTATCCATAAAAGTACCTTGCTGTGGGTCAAGAACTCTTCTTCTTCAGATGCATTCATGCTTGAATTTCTGTACTATTGCCAGCATTTGAAGGGTTAGTTCACCTTTACCAAAACACTGCCTAGGTGGATAAGGGTTGTCTGTACATCAAAAGCTGTGCAGCTTTGAGTAGATAACTGGGTCAAAATAACTCTAAAACTGCAGTTGTTGTAGGATCTTCCTGGTCTGCAGTGGTCAGAAAAGTACCAAAAGTGGTCCAACTAAAGAAATGAGTGAACCACCGACAGGGTCACGGACAGCCAAGGCTCATTGATGCACATGGGGAGTAAAGGCTAGCTAATAATCTGATCTAATAGAAGATATACTGTAGCTCAAATCTTTGAAAAAGCTGGTTGGAAAATGCTGATTCCGATAGAAAGGTGTCAGAACACACACAGTGCATTAGTTGCGTATGTGGCTGTGTAGCCGCAGACAGATCAGGGTGCCCATGCTGACCCATGTCTACAGCCAAAAGAGCTTACAATGGGCATGTGAGCATCAGAGCTGGACCACTGAGCAATAGAAGAAGGTGGCCTGGTCTGATGAATTCAAGAATGGTTTAAGGAACACAAGAAGTTTGATGTGTTGAAGTGGCCCCAAATTCTCTAAATCTCAATCCAATCAAGCATCAGTGGGATGTATTGGAAAACCAAGTCCAATCCATAGAGGCCCTATCTCACACCTTACAGGACGTAAAGTGTTACTAAATTCAGGACCCTGCATTCACTATATCTGGTCTCCCACAGTACAGAGAATATGGAAGTGCAATTATTTTAGTAAATATAAACTGCTAAATACCTTTTCTCATCAGCAGTTGGAGCAGTCCTGTGACTTCTATCAGTGTCCAGCCGAGTACTGGTTAAAGCTTGTAGGAGGAATTTTCATTTTGCTCTGAGAGGATGCAGAACCCCTGACCTCTGTCTGGACAGCACTGATTGGCCCTGTGCTGATCACATGCACGCTCCCAAGAAAAAAGAAAACACCTCTCTAGCAATACACACCAAACTGAGCATATGTAGAGTGTCTCCATACGATATGTCTTATCAGGAGATAAGAGGGGAGCACTGGAAGGAGAGGATCAGAGAAGTCAGGATCAAACAGTGTTTTTACACAATGCAGAGGATTAACCCCTTAGGTTCCACAATAAGTATAACAAGCATGCCTCACTACACTTCAAGAATCTACTACTGATGACTTGGTGCCAGATAACACAGCATACCTTTTAGAGATCAAGTGGAGTCCATGCTTGGATGGGTTATCTTGAGTGGTCACAATGTTATGGCTGATCAGTGTAAAGAACAAGCTGGGTTGATTTATAGAACAAGCAAGGTGCAAACTATATATGGAACAAACAGCTGCAAGCGATTTAAAGAACAAGCAAGTTCAAATCTATCTATAGAACCCACTGGATGCAATCTATTTATAGTACAAGCTGCCTGCAATCTATTTATAGGACAAGTTGCATGCAGTCTATTTATAGAACACACAGGTACATATTATTTATAGAACAAACTGGGTGTAATCTATTTAGAGATGGTGCCACCCCATCCTGTCTTGATGCTAGGACGTTGTTAATACACTCCCAGTTGATTCAAATCCCCGCACATGTGCTCTCTCCCTCTCCTGCCACAAGAGCTGAGGTCAGCAATAATGCAATGGAGGAGATAGTGGACTACGTATGTTCAAGGGTTTGAGAGCTTGCTCCTATGAGGATGGAGGTGAGCAGTAATGGCTGGGAGTGTCTTAGCCATGTCATAGCAACAAGGCAAGATGGGATGATGCTATCTGTGGGAGTTTTTCAGTCAGACTTCTGGAAGTATGTAAAAGGCCTACACCTATAGCAAGGGCATTATCCAACTTTAGTCAAAGCTGCACAGTTTGATTTTACCTACAAGTGTCCATTACCTGTATAGGCAGTTTTTCTGGTAAAGAGGAACTAATCCTTTAAAAACAAGAATATACATTCTTTTATTACGCAAGACCCTATTTTTACTAGCCTTCAGCATTCTGAATATAATATATACACTATATTGCCAAAAGTATTGGGACGCCTGCCTTTACACGCACATGAACTTTAATGATATCCCAGTCTTAGTCCGTAGGGTTCAGTATTGAGTTGGCCCGCCCTTTGCAGCTATAACAGCTTCAACTCTTCTGGGAAGACTGTCCACAAGGTTTAGGAGTGTGTCTATGGGAATGTTTGACCATTCTTCCAGAAGTGCATTTGTGAGGTCAGGCACTGATGTCAGACGAGAAGACCTGGCTCACAGTCTCCACTCTAATTCATCTCAAAGGTGTTCTATCAGGTTGAGGTGCAGGCCAGTCAAATTCCTCCACCCCAAACTCGTTCATCTATGCTTTGCTTTGTTCATCTATGCTTTGCCTTGCTTTGTGCGCTGGTGTGCAGTCATGTTGGAACAGGAAGGGGCCATCCCCAAACTTCCCACAAAGGTGGGAGCATAAAATTGTCCAAAATGTCTTGGTATGCTGATGCCTTAAGAGTTCCCTTCACTGGAACTAAGGGGCCAAGCCCAATCCCTGAAAAACAACTCCACACCATAATCCCCCCTCCACCAAACTTTTTGGAACAATGCAGTCAGGCAAGTACCGTTCTCCTGGCAACCACCAAACCCAGACACGTCCATCGGATTTCCAGACAGAGAAGCGTGGTTCATCACTGCAGAGAACACATCTCCACTGTTCTAGAGTCCAGTGGCAGCGTGCTTTACACCACTGCATTCAACTCTTTGCATTGCACTTGATGATGTAAGGCTTGGATGCAGCTGCTCGGCCATGGAAACCCATTCCATGAAGCTTTCTTTGCACTGTTGTTGTGCTAATCTGAAGGCCACACGATGTTTGGAGGTCTTTAACTATTGATTGCAAACAGTTGACAACTTCTACACACTGAGTGCTTCAGTATGCGCTTACCCCGCTCTGTCATTTTATGTGGCCTACCACTTCGTGGCTGAGTTACTGTTGTTCCCAGTTGCTTCCACTTTATTATAATACCACTAACAGTTTACTGTGGAGTATTTAGTAGCAAATAAATTTCACAGATTGGCTTATTGCACAGGTGGCAAGAGCAACCCATTTTTTCAAAAATGTTTATACTAGTATGGAAGTGATTGGAACACCTGGATCCAATGATTTGGAGGGGTGTCTCAATACTTCTGGCAATATAGTATATACAGTTGTGTTCAAATTAATAGCAGTCAGACATCACTAACCTGATCAATCACTGTTTTTGGTAGAAATGATATTTCTACATGGCAAATAATTTACTAGCAGGTGTAGTAGAGTAATAGAAATCCAATAAACCCAACAGTCATGACATGCATGCTGCTGATTCTGTGTAATTGAATCACTAATTGAAAGGGGCATGTTCAAAATATTAGCAGTGTGGAGTTCTATATTGTGAGGTCATTCATTCTTTGAAAAACAGGTGGCAATTATTGCCCTTATTTAAGGAAGGAAGGCAGCAAATGTTGTACATGCTGGTTACAGTGCATTTCTCTCTGAAATTCTGAGGAAAATGGGTCGTTCCAGACATTGTTCAGAAGAACAGCGTACCTTGATTAAAAAGTTGATTGGAGAGGGGAAAACATATAAAGAAGTGCAGAAAATGATAGGCTGCTCAGCTAAAATGATCGCAAATGCTTTAAAATGGCAACCAAAACCTGAAAGACGTGGAAGAAAGCGAAAAACTACCATTCCAATGAATAGAAGAATAGCCAAAATGGCAAGGACTCAGCCAACAATCAGCTCCAGGAAGATCAAAGACGGTCTAAAGTTACCTGTGAGTACTGTTACAATTAGAAGACGCCTATGTGAAGCCAAGCTATCTGCAAGAAGCCCCCACAAAGTCCCACTGTTGAAAAAAAGATGTGCTGAAGAGGTTACAATTTGCCAAAGAGCACATTGACTGGCCTAAAGAGAAATGGCGCAACATTTTGTGGACTGATGAAAGTAAGATTGTTCTTTTTGGGTCTAGTGGCCGGAGACAGTTTGTCAGACGACCCCCAAACACTGAATTCAAGCCACAGTACACTGTGAAGACAGTGAAGTATGGTTGCGCAAGCATCATGATATGGGGATGTTTCTCATACTACGGTGTTGGGCCTATTTATCGCATACCAGGGATCATGGATCAGTTTGAATACATCAGAATACTTGAAGAGGTCATGCTGCTTTATGATGAAGAGGAAATGCCCTTGAAATGGGTGTTCTAACAAGACAACGACCCCAAACACACCAGCAAACGTGCAACATCTTGGTTCCAGACCAACAAGATTGACGTTATGGAGTGGCCAGCCCAATCCCCGGATCTTAATCCAATAGAAAACTTGTGGGGTGACATCAAAAATGCAGTTTCTGAGGCAAAACCAAGAAATAGAGAACTGTGGAATGTAGCCCAATCATCCTGGGCTGGAATACCTGGTGCCGGAAGTTGGTTGACTCCATGCAACACAGATGTACAGCAGTTCTCAGAAGCAGTGCTTATACAACTAAATATTAATCAGTGATTCAAAGGAAAGCAAAATCTTCAAACATTTTTCAGTTTATATAGTGAATGTTTGAGTCTGTAAAGAAGAATACAAACACTGCTATTTTTTTTTAACAGTCTAATATTCACTTTTCTTCATTTTTTTTTTTAGAGGAACAACACAAATTTGATATATTTTTCTTCATGTTTTGATTTGGAATAGAATGTGTAGTGTTCCCAATGCATTTGTGTGTATGGAAATAAAAGCTATTAGAAGGATTTTGAGCTTTATTCACTTTTTTCAACACACTGCTATTATTTTGAACACAATTGTATATTCATATACACGCAAATCTCACTTTTAATAGGGCAATAGCAGCACTGATGTCATATGGTTTTTGAGTTGAGCTCAATATTTAATGATTGGTCTTCACAGATAAGCTTTTCTTCTCTGGCAATAAGAATTTAAAAAAAAAAAAAGAAATTTACTTTTGGTACCCATTGCATGATTCTTAAACACTACAGCAGAATGATCCAAAAACCTAAAATTTGTTTGTTGATCCAAACATTAGTGCAAGTCTACATCAGAAGCTCACTCTGTATTTTAGGTAAAAGTCCTGACCTAATGCCATTGAGATGTTGTGGTGGGATATGAAGAAGGGGTTGCAGGCAAATATGCAAAAATATCTATGGACTGAAACTATTTTGTATACTGGAAAAAGCCATTAAATACTCCTAGGTTCCAACAGTGCCAATAGGTTGAGGTTATTGTCAATAGAGGAGGTTTCACTAGTTGTAAGTGGCCTTGATTGTTTAATCTATTTCTCAAATAAAGATATGAGCATATAAAATGTTGTGTGCATTGTTTGTTGAAAGACATCTCTATATTTTTCCTAGTTTTTACAAATTACATTTTAAGAGCCTTCCATACCATAAAATTTGTAGAATACTTAAACTGAAAACTATATTTTAAAAGGCTTATGTATGGTATCATCAATCATTGTCATACAAACATAATTCAAGCTGATCCATGACTCCAAATACAAAGATTGTATATCCAGCTTACATTTAGGTGTAATTTGCAATCAGGTATCAAGAAGCTCTTCAGGACTTTGTTCGCTGCTTCACTGAATTAAGAGGAAATCAACTGATTGACTACAAGATTCTGGGCTCGGCATTTAAACTCTACAGCTGTGAGGTGAGATACCGTAATACTGCAGAATCGTTGGTGTGCAGCAGTCATCATGCACAGTAAGAAGGCATATGTTTGCCTTCTGCAAGCTTCACCTGGTTTTATTGGGTCAATAGGGTTGGGCTGAGACATTTATCCTGAAAAAATTCTGCTTCAAACTTTGGTCACGTACTGCCTACAGACCAGAAGCCTTGGCATTTGTTCACATGATCTCTTGGAGATCTTAGAATAGTGGACTGTCTCGCACTCCTATGTATATTATAAAATACCTTGATTCTTGAGTAAGTATATTAACCACTTGCCTACCGGACACTTATACCCCCTTCCTGCCCAGGCCAATTTTCAGCTTTCAGTGCTGTCGCACTTTGAATGACAATTGCACGGTCATGCAACACTGTACCCATATGACATTTTTTTCACACAAATAGAGCTTTCTTTTGGTGGTATTTAGTCACCACTGGGTGTTTTATTTTCTCCTCTATCAACAAAAAAAGAGCAAACATTTGAAAAAAAAAGTTTTTCTTTTTTTCTATTATAACATTTTGCAAAAAGGTAATTTTTCTCCTGCACTGATGTGCGTTGATGAGGCTTCACTGATAGGTAGCACTGATAAGCTGGCACTGATGAGGCAGCACTGATATGCAACAATGATGGGCACTGATAGGAAGCACTGACTGATGGCACAGGTGGGTGGCACTATAAGGCACTGATGGGCACAGGTGGGTGGCACTGCTGGGCAAAGGTGGTCGGCACTGCTGGGCACTGATCATCAGGGCACTGATGATCAGTGCCCTGATGATCGGTGCCAATCCGTCCTCTGATAATTGCCAGTTATCGGCAGTACTTTCCTCACGCTGTGATAGCGTGAGGAAAGTGGAGCCCATAACTGGCAAGTGCATTTATCGGTATTTATTGGACACAGCTGATCACGTGGTAAAAGGGCGCTGTGATTTGCCTTTTACCACATCACGTGATTAGCTGTGTCCTTAGGACACAGCAATCACAGAGATCGCCGGGGGCACACAGGAGGGTGCGTTCTGGGAGGACGTCATATGATGCCCCCCCTGAATTGGACAACCGCACTGTAGCTGTCATTCGGCTATAGCGCGGTTGGCCAGTGATTAAAGTGGTAGTAAACTGCGTTCTTTGACTTTTGCCTACAGGTAAGCCTATAATAAATCTTACCGGTAGGTAAAATGAATATCTCCTAAACTTGCACTGTTTGGGAGATATTCCAAGGGGCAGTAGCCAGAGACATCACTGACGCATGCGCTCTGAAGGAACGGCATACCTGTACTGTTCCTTCAGAGCTGTGTGCCATGCATGGGAGTGAAGTCATTGCGGCTTGGCCAGTCAGGCAGCTGGAGCTTGGGAACCCAGAAGGAAGACCAGTTAAAGCGTGAAGCCCTGTCAGCGGTGACAGTGCCCCACTGGAGAGCTTCGTTTTAAGGTATTTCATAATGTGCTAGTATGCAATGCATACTAGCATGTTATGATATTATCCTGCAGGGGGAAATCTTTTTTTTCTCCCAAATTTTGTTCAGCACTCCTGAGTCAGTATTCATTCATTCCTTGGTTCCACTTCGCAGTGTCTTCCCAGGTGGAGGTTTCTCTTCTGCACACCAGAAGAGGAACCTGGAGGTGGATAGCAGTGTGGATGAGGTCCATCATGTGTGAAAATTCTACGTGTGATCAGCAGTTAAACAACCTCAGAAGAATTGATGGATCTTCATAGTTGCATAGTTAGTTTGGCTGAAAAAACACCCAAGTCCATCTAGTTCAACCAATAAAAAGGAAAAAAAATGTATACAATCCTATATACACAGTCCTATATCCACAGTTGATCCAGGGAAGACAAACATCCCCAGCAAAGGATGATTCAATTTGCTCCAGTAGAGGTAAAAAATCCTTCCTGATCTCCCAAGAGGCAATTAGACATTCCCTGGATCAACTTTACCTTGAAATGTTAGTATCCAGTTATATTATGTGCATTTAGGAAATAATCCAGGCCTTTTTTTAAAGCAATATACTGAGCTAGCCAGAACCATCTCGTGAGGGAGTCTATTCCACATTTTAACAGCTCTTACTGTGAAGAAACCTTTCCGTGTTTGGAGATTAAATCTCTTTTCCTCCAGACATAAAGAGTGCCCCCTTGTCCTCTGTGATGACCTCAGGGTGAATAACTCTACACCGAGTTCACTACACTATATGAGCCACTGATGTATTTATACATGTTGATCATATCCCCCCTTAATCTCCTCTTCTCAAGAGAGAATAAATTCAGTTCCTCTAATCTTTCCTCATAGCTGAGCTCCTCCATGCCTCTTATCAGTTTGTTTGCCCTTCTCTGTACTTTCTCTAGTTCCCCAATGTTCTTTTTGTGAATTGGTGCCCAAAACTGAATTGCATATTCCAGATGAGGTCTTACTAATGATTTGTACAGGGGTAATATGATATCTCTCTCTCTGGAGCCTATACCTCTCTTAACCACTTGCCAATCGTGCTATAGCCAAATGATGGCTACAGTGCGGTTGTCCAGTTCTGGGAGGGCGTCATATGATGTCCTCTCAGAACACACCCTCCTGCACGCCCACAGCGGCGCTTACCCGATGCTCTCCGTGATCGCTGTGTCCTACGGACACAGCTGATCACTTGATGAGGCAAAAGGCCAATCACAGCGGCCTTTTACCACGTGATCAACTGTGTCCAATGACACAGCCGATCACTATGTAAATACAGTTGCTGCTCATCAGCAACAGTTTCCTCACACTGTTACAATGTGAGGAAAGTACTGCTGCTAACCGGCAAATGACAGAGGACATCTGCACCGATCATCAGAGCACTGATGATCAGTGCCCAGCAGTGCCACCCCCCAGTGCCCAGCAGTTCCTCCCATCAGTGCCCAGCAATGCCACCCATCAGTGCTAACCAGCAGTTACACCCATCAGTGCCAAGCAGTACTGCCAGTCAGTGCCATCAGTCAGTACTGCCCGTCAGCATGTTGTCAATCAGTGCTGCCCATCAGTGCCCATCATTGCTGCATATCAGTGCAGCATCATCAGCACCTCATCATCAATGCCCACTAGTGCAGTCTATCAGTGCCCATCAGTGCTGCCTATCCATGCCACTTCATCAGTGCTGCCTGAGTTTTGTGACAGGTGTCAGAAAGCACGTATTATATGTTTTGGAGAACCATTGAGTTGTTTTAGAGTTGTGACTGTGCTCTATGCACTTGCTGCCATCCACATATATATATTTGATATGCTGTGATAATTTTTTTTATATGTGTGGACATTGTACAGCCTGCCGGTTGACTAACTTAGTTCCCTGTGACACTCACAGAATCTAATACACTATGTAAGCCAAGCAAAATTACTAGCAACTCTACCAACAGACAAGAGTGGCTTGACGTAAGGAGAACCCATTGACTGTTCTATGAAAAGTATTTTTGTGTAATTGCTTTTCTCAGAGTCATAATGAATTGGTGACATTTATTTTCCAGATCCTATATAATGTTGCACTAGCACACGCGAAAGTGGGGAACTGGGCAAAAGCAGAAGAGAATCTCATTCTGGCCCTCAGTCAGAAGGTAGAACCAAGGCATGGCACCAAGATAGAGAAAGCAATGCAAGAAATCCTGGTATGTATTTATTTTGCAGGAGATATAAGTATAGATCACAGCAGGGGCGGACTGACAATTCATGGGGCCCCTGGGCAATAGGGGACCATGGGGCACCTGTGTCCTTGCCCACACTCAAACCACAACCAAAAAAGCCTATGAAAAGTACTAGGGGCATCTCAAGGGCCCCCTACTTACCCCGGGCCCTCATGCAGTGCCCGAGAGCCCAAATGGTCAGTCCACCCCTGGTTCAGAAGTGTAGAGAAGAGCTGGGAACCTGACTTATTCCATTATAGTTATCATTTTACATCAGCTGCATCCAATGTGGGCATTGTAAGAGGTGGTAAGCAGGTTTTAACCATCCCACCACTGAGGAATCGGTAATGATTGTACATGTAGTCCAGGGCAGCGACACACATCAAAGCCGTGTGACATGTGGCCAGGTCAAGGTTGTGTAGAAGCAGGTAAGATCTCCCTTGGTCCTGTGATTGGTATTTCACTAGTCCTTTAATGTATTTTGGACCACATAATAATATTGATAGAAAAGAAAATAGCTAGCTGTGCATCTAGTGTTTATATACAGTATGTGGTTAGTTTAAGGTTGAATTCCAGGATGTATAGTCAGAATTGCATCCAAAAGTGGTTATAAAGCCAAAAGATTTTGTTTACCTTAATACATTGTAATACTATTGCACAGAGCAGGTAAGTGTAACATGTTTATTATTTCAAAAAAAATTAACCTTTACAATTTCACTTTAAGTGAAAAGACAGTAAAAGGTACTGTATATAAATCCACAATCCACTAAACCATTTTTAATTTAAAAAAATTGAGATTTACACTGACTTTAAGTAGTGTAACATTGTTACATGAGATTTAAACATACATCTCTAGTCTTCACCAGATTATTTTTGTAGTTTAAAGTGAAACTTCACCCTCTCAATCAACATGGACTATGTTTAATCCTTATGCTGCCAGCATTAGTAAATAGATAGGCAGGTATATTATATTTACTTGTTTTAAACTTTTTTTTTTACATTTCTTCAGTTACTTCCTGGTTTCCATGCCTAGGCAAATGATGTCATACATTCCAGGAGTCTCCAGAAAAGGAGGGAGGGTTCTTAGCTCAGCCCATCCCTGAGCTAAGGATAGATGAATTCCAGGAAGCAAATGACACGCGAATCATCTGCCCTTACTCAAGATAGCCACTGCCAGAAATGCCAGGGGGTGTTTTTCAAAATGATTTCTCAGCCAAATAAAGCATGGAGACATGGATGGATGGGGGAGTTTTCTCTAAATATTAAAAATAAATGAAATAGCATTTTTAGTTTGTGTGCTCAGATGCAGTGTGTTCCAGTTTAAGGTTCTATAATATCTTTGGCTTATTTAAAAATGTCTATGATTATTGCATGGGGATACTAGATTCCGGAATTTGCCTCTTTCGTAGACTTTTGAAGGGTGCCTGGCTAGTTAGAACAGCCTAAAATAAATTATTAAATCAGCATACTGTAGCAACATTATCAGTGAACTGCAGAATATTTTCTACTATCCATTTATTATTTATACTACAGAAACAAAAAGATTTTCCACTAACAGAAATGCCAAAAGGTCGCCTATTTCAACCGAATGAGAGGCTTGTGGAACAGTTGGAGAAGAAGGACTATTTGGGTAAAGCTACGGTATGCTTATTACCATTCACACTATTCAAATGGTGTAAATGTTCATTTTCATTTCCTCAGGTTCTCCTCTCTTTTTAATGTCTTACTTGATAGTATGGAGATCTTTTAAAATATTACTGGTTTATGGTCCATGTGAATGTCCCTTACTTCTGTTGTGATGATTTCTGTGTATGAATGGTGCTGTTACCTGTACATTATTATATTATAAATTCTATATATTACCTGTATCTATGGAGGACTTAGTGCTGTATGTTATTATTTCATAGGTTGTGGCCTCGGTGGTTGACAAAGACAGTTTCTCTGGTTTTGCACCCCTACAGCCCCAGGTATAGGTGAATTGTTTTTGTTTTAGTGAATATTGTGCCATGCAAATGGTGCCTGTGTTGGAGATGGAACATGGCAACTTGCCAGTTTGTATGTCCTGAGGAGGGGTGAGATTCATAAGGTGTGAATGGCATCTAGGTGAGATAAATATCAGCTCTTCTATGTTTATCCACCTACCCTCCATTAGAGTTGTGCCAATTTTCAGACTAAACTCGTATGCATAAAATATTAAATAACTCAAGAAATAAAATGCTAGATGGGAGAATCAGCCAGCTGAAACTTCCTAACAAGGTGTCATATAAAGAACAGCTATGGAATAATTATGAATCATAGTGACTCAGCATATGAATAACAGAAAAACACCACTTTTCCTGAAAAAAAAAATAAATAATGAAAATTGTATGACTTACCGCTATAATAATCAATTGTAACAACGCAACTACAGTTTTTTAAAGGCATAAATAAATTCAAGCTTTGCATCCTTTCAAGCATTGTAATGGGTTTATGGGAGTGCTGTGAACACAATTCTGTAAAGAAAACCCTCCAGAAATCCCATTCTTACTTGTTTTATTGTTTCACTGATTTAAAGTGGAAACAAGTGACAGTTATTTAAAATCAGGGGTGGTTTTCTAAATTTATTTGTGATCAAGCGGTATAAAGTTTTGGGTATATTTTTCATGCTGTGTTTTCATTTTACAGAGTGACAACCCACCACTTCGTCCAAAGACCCCTGAAATACTTAGGTAAATAATATCTATAGCTTTTTTTTCCATTCTGTTTTGGATAGAGCATGGGAGGATAGGAGCCCTATCAGAATTTTATTGCGGACTGTTTGAGGTTTTTTTTGACTGACATTTTTACCTCTAGCTGTACTGGTGACCTTTGCAACTGGGACTAAAAGTGATGGCATAAGCCAAAAATGTTCAGTTGGCACCAGACGAGAAACAGAATGAACATCCTCCAGGGGACCCTTGTTTTAGTGACAACTGTCTAAAGCAGTGGTTCTCAACCTTCCTAATGCCGCACCCTTTTAATACAGTTCCTCATGTTGTGGTGACCCCCAATGATAAAATTATTTACCCAGTAATTATAATTCATGAAGTGTCGTTTTACCTCCAATACTGCTGCTTTTAACACAGTAGCTGCTTTCAACACAGTAGCTGCTTTCTACACAGTAGCTTCTCTTTACACATTGGAAATATGTGTTTTCCGATGGTCTTAGGCGACCCCTGTGAAAGGGTTGTTCGACCCCCAAAGGGGTCGCGACCCACAGGTTGAGAACCACTGGTCTAAAGGTTCACCCCCCACCATTTTGAAAGGTTTAATTATTTCTTGTTGTGTCCAATACAGGAAGTGTATAGGAATTATTATTATTACACAGGATTTGTATAGCAGCAACAGTCTGTGCAGTGCTTTACACCACAAGCAAGACAGTACATTTACAATACAATTCAGTACAAGCGGTTTAAAAGCCGTCTGAGAGCTTACAATCTAATAGGAAGCAGTATTCGGTACAAAAAGGTAATAACTGAAGAATGAGTTGATGGGAGAAATAAAAATATTCAGTTGTTAGACAAATTTGGGATAGAATTCCCTGAAGAGATGAGTTTTCGGAGATCAGCTAAAAGGTAGACAGAGTAGGAAATAGCTGGGCAGATTGAGGTAGAGAGTTTCCAGAGGATGGGAGAGGCTGAAGATGTCCTGGAGATGAGCATGGGAGGAGGAGACAAGGGAGATAGAAAGCAGGAGGTCTTGGGAGGAGCAGAGAGGACAGTTTGGCTTATAGAGTTGTAAATGACTTTGTATGTTGTAAATATTTAGAATTGTATTTGTTGGGCAATGGAAAGACAGTGGAGGGACTGGCAGAGAGGGTTGAAGGACATGGAGCAGTTCGTAAGATGGAGTCTGGCAGCAGCATTCAAGATAAACTGAAGGGGGATAAATCCTATGAAGAGGTAGGCCTATGAGGAGGGAGTTGCGATAGTCAAGATAAGAGATAACAAGGGAATGAATGAGTTGCTTGGTGGTTGCATTAGTTAAAAGGAGACGTATTTTGGAGATGTTACAGAAGTGAAGCCTACAGGGTTTGGACAGCGATTGGATTTGGGGCTGAAAGGACAGGGCAAACTCCAGGATTACACTCTGGCATTATTAACCACTTTCCCCTCTGGAAGATTTACCTCCCCTTCATGACTAGGCCATTTTTGCTATACGGCGCTGCATTTTTTAGCTGACAATTGAGCTGTCATGCAACGCTGTATATAAATTAAATTTATGTAATTTTTTTCCCCACAAATAGAGCTTTCTTTTGGTTGTATTCGGTCACCTCTGGATTTTTTTTATTGTTTGCACTGTAAACAAAAAAAAACAAGACTGAAAAAAAACTATATTTTTTGCTTTCTGCTATAAAACATATCCAATAAAAAAATTAAACATCTAATTACTTCATAAATGTAGGCCAATATGTATTCTGCTACATATATTTGGTAAAAAAAAAATCCCAATAGGCGTATATTGATTGGTTTATGCAAAAATAGAGTCTACAAACTATGGTATATACAGTATATATACTGGAATTTTTCTTTTATACTTGTAATGACGGCGATCAGTGATTTATAGCAGGACTTTGATATTGTGGCAGAAAGTCTGACACTGACACTTTGTGGGAATCAGTGACACTAATACAGTGCTCAGTCCAAAAAATATACACTGTCAGGGGGTTAAATATCTAGGGTGATCAATGGGTTAACAGTGTGGCTAACCAGTGTTTTTGTGTACACAGTGTGGTGATTTTACTAGGCAATGTGGTGGATTTTATTCCCTGCTTGGTAGGGAAAGAAAAATCCAGCAGATCCCCACTGACAGGACACAGCTCTGCCTTAATTACATAGCCAGAGCTGTATCCTGTCATTATCTTCACTGATCAACGGGTGCCGACAGTCATCCATTATCTGGCACCCGTTGATCGGCTTCTGCTGTGACTAATCACAACAGAAGCGGCATGCATGCCTCCCCTACAACTGGAAGTGCAAAATCACACACACACACACACACACACATATATATATATATATATATATATATATATATATATATATATATATATATACACACACATTTATATGATTTTGCACAGAACAGCCACCCTGTAGCAGTACATCTGCTATAGGGAGGTTGGGAAGTGGTAAATCTCGATGGAAAAGTCAGGAAGAAGGGCATGGGCAGGGGGCAATATTAAGAGCAAAGTATTGATTTAAGCATCTTTATTACAGATAGATAATAGGTAGTATTATATATTGAGAGATGCAACATATCTATAGAGTGTATAGAGTTATGTCGTTTGTATATGGAACAGCAGAGTGAAGGGTTAAAGAAAGCAACCCCTGTAACGCAATATAAGAAAGAAGGAAGGTGGTACTGGTATGCTCCCAGCTGAAGTCACATAACAAATTTAACGTGCAGGGTGGATTTAAAAAAAAAAATGTTTTAATACAGTCAATCTACTCGCACTATATGATACAACATTTATATTGTAGTTAATGTGTATTTTTCTGTCTACTATTGCTCGTGGTACTCTGCATCTGTACACCACGTATTTTTTTTATATACATCCATCTGTAGTAAGGAGGTTGAGAAAGACTGCTCTAGACTTAATCCCTTTTCAGGTGTATCTTTTTCCACTGATTTAAACTTCTCCTGTGACTCTCTATACTCTCTGTACTCCATACAGGATATGGAAATCAGACACATATAGCTTAAAAACTGTTTTTATTAAAATAAGTATTAAGATACTGGAGAAGTTTAATTGAAGTGTATGAATAATAGCACAGCTGATATTTTTATTGGCTTTAATTATGGCAGTGTTTGTGAACCCCAGATTTACCGCACACACACTTTAAAGTGCTGCAATAATGGCGGATGTTACATTAATTCAATGAAATTATGATAGCTTTATTGTTATTAGCTTATTATAAGTTGGCATGTATGCAGGGCCAGTGCTAGATTCCACATGGAAATATATGTAAAATATATTGAATACAGCCAAAACTGTAGTATTTCAAATATATGTCAATATATTTGGGAAGAATATTTTTTAAATATATTTTTCTTCCATGTGAGCTATTTTGCGCCCTAGGCAAGAGCAGATACTTGCCCCCCCCCCCCCCGCGCGCCACTTGCCCTGCTCCTCATTGACTGAATACCTCTTCTTCATTCACGGGTTGGCATGGGTATGATGAGCGATGTTTGGGTGGTATGTGGGGTCTATGAGGAGCAGTGTCCGGGTGGTATGTGGGGTCTAAGAGGAGCGGTGTCTGGATGGTATGTAGGATCTATGAGGAGCGGTATGTAGGGTCTATGAGGAGCAGTGACTGGGGGCGGTATGTGGGGTCTATGAGGAGCAGTGATTGGGGGAGGTATGTGAGGTCCATGAGGAGAGATGTCTGGGCAGGCAGTATGTGGGGTCTATGAGGAGCAGTGATTGGGGAGGTATGTGGGGTCTATGGGGAGAGATGTCGGGCAGGCAGTATGTGGGGTCTATGAGGAGCAGTGATTGGGGGAGGTATGTGGAGTCTATGAGGAGAGATGTCTTGGTGCCGCGGTATGTGGGGGTCTATGAGGAGCGGTGACTGTATGCTGTATGTGGGGGTCTATGAAGAGCGTTGTATGGGGAATATGAGGAGCGGTGTTTGGGAGGTGAGGTCTATGAGGAGCGGTGTTGGGGCAGTATGTCAGGGGGTATGAAGAGCACTGCGGGGGTGGTATATAGAGCATGAGTAGTGGTATGTAGGGGGTATGAGGTGTCCAGGTGGTATATGGGGAGTATGAGGATTGGTGCAACATTATGACTGGGTGAGCTCTCCCTGGTGAGGTGAGGAGGGGAGTGTGGGAAGCTCCCAGTAGGGTGTTGGATGGAGCAGGTTTATGTTAATGAGGGGTGCGGGGAGCAACTCATGGTGAGGATGGAGGTGTTGTAGCCATTTTGGAGTCAGTGCTTAAAATTGCTGGAGGAGAGTTCAGTATAGCCAGGATGCAGCCCTCCAGCCCATAGTGAGGGCTCTGTGATGGCTTAGAGTGCTCGTAGTCCTGTTGGTTGGGGGTGTCGGTCCTAGTGGGACAGTGAAGGTATACAGCTAGAGGGGTCCTATTCCGATGAACAGGGATGTGGAGCAGGCAGAGAGTGGGGAGCTCTGTCTACAGCGCAGGACTGGCTGTGAACAGTGGTTGGGGGATCTGGTGTTTGTCCAGCTCCAGTCCAGACGTTGTTGGTGTGGATGAGGATGGAGGACAGACACAGAGTAGACTACAACTCCAAGAACCAGAGGAAGAGCCTGGTTGGCTGAGCCCAATGTGGATGTGATGTACAGTAATCGGTTAGGCTATGTGCCACAGCTTTGGATCCGTAGCCAGGATCTATTGGTATCGGTGCTGGGATTATAGGACTGTCAGGTGTGGTGGCCAGCTTCGCTGCATTGGCCCAGTTACCCTGCTGTACCAGGCCAGTGATGAGGGGGATTGAGCCTCCCGGAGCCTTGTGGTGTGGGTCAGGCATGAACAGCAGCCCTCAGTTCCACAACTACCAGGCTTCCATTCCTGAGAACGAGCCAGGGATGTGGGTGATCTCCATGACAGTCACCGATCAGGACCTGGGGGAGGTGGGCTGGCTGGAGTACTTCATGGTGGCTTTGCTGCTTCATGTGTATGGGCTGTCCCCCCCCTGTATGCATGTATGCATCCCCTACAATAGAAATACATTTTTGGTGAGATATTCTTTTAAAGGTTGAGGACATGGAAAGGGATGCTGGGCATACAGCATCTCTTATTACAACATTAAGAGTGATCATGGGGTGTTAATGAAGGCAGTTTTGCATACTTACCCAGAAGTACCAGATATGTCCTTTGCTCTTGGCACTGAATAATGTGGCAAGGGAGCAAAGGAAAGATAAGCGTATGCAGGTGGGGGAATTAAAGCACATGTGCGCATTGCAAACAGGTTTGCTGTAAAGTAGCCACATTTGGGTTGATTGGATTGCCAGAAATTTAAATTTTTGGCTGTGGTTTCAGTTCTCTGATGTGTCTTCGAACCTGTCCATTCAATATCAGTGGATAGTTTTTGAAAGGTCCTGAAGGATGTATATGGGGGTTGGGTACCAGTGGAAAATGTTATAGAACAACCTTTAATCACTAGTACTATTTCTGTATCTGGTCACCTCTAGTATACAGGGGGTGTAGTATAAGGGTGAGAACAATGGGGTTCAAACCCTTCCCAGAGCATCTCTCAGCAACACAGGAGCAGCAGCTAGGCTACAACGCGTTTCTAAAGCATTCTTTACATTTTTTTCCCAATGAACTGAAGTAGGTAACCTCAATGAAGAACCCATTTGATTCTTAGTTTATTCATTATGAGCAGGCTAAGCTTCCATCATTACACAATCAAGGTGAGGACTGGGTCGTGGGAACTCAGTGTAAACAAACCTGAGGTCACCTCAGTCACAATATGACTCCAATAATGTATAAGATCTCGAAGATAATACTATCACCATCATTAAAAGGCATATAAATAGAAAGCAAAGTAACCTATAGGGATGTGATCAAATATAAAACAATATTATTATTATACTGGATTTATATAGCACCAACAGTTTGCTCAGCGCTTTACATTATAACGGGAGACAATACAGTTCAATACAAGAGGGTTAGGAGGGCCCTGCTCCTTGGAGCTTACAATCTAGGAGGGAGGGGCTGGTGGTACAAAAGGTAATAACTGTGGGGGATGGACTGGTAGAAAGAGAAAATTCCATTATTAGCTGAGGGCAGGATAGGCTTCCCTGCAGAGATAGGTTTTCAGAGATCGCCAAAAAGTGGGCAGAGTAGGCGATAGTCTGATAAATTGGGGTAGAGAGTTCCAGAGGATGGGGGAGGATCTGGAGAAGTCCTGGAGAGAAGCATGGGAGGAGGAGACAAGGGAGCTAGAGAGCAGGAGGTCATGGGAGGAGTGGAGAGGACGGTTTGGGTGATATTTGGAGTCAAGATTGGTGATGTAATGTGGGGCAGAGTTATAAATACTTTAGTGTCTATACATTTAAGTTAAAGAGTGTATGTCTAGTGACTCTCTATGTATAAAGATAAAATAGAGGGCTAGGGGAACAAATACTATACAGACTAAAGCTCCATGCACACAAGCGGTTTTTTAAGCTAAAAAAAATACTGAGAAAACCACTGGATAAAAAAAACCCCCCCCACAGGTAATAGCATGTTTTAGTAGTGTTTAGGAGTGTTAGCGTTTTATTAGCATTTTTACAGTACATGTAGAGGGGGAAAAAAAGTTATTAGGAGTGTTTTAGTAATGTTTTTATTTCTGCTGGAAAAACAAAAAACTCAACAAAAACAATTTTTTTCTGCTCCTAGACGCTGAAGCTCAAAAATGCATTTTTTCCAGCAGAGAAAAAAAAAAGCTATATTCTTCTAAACGCTGCTAAGTGCCCAAAGCTGAATATTTTCCTCTTCCTGCCCCTGGCCCTTCTACTGTATACATGGTTTTGATGGTGTTTACTGTCTCCAGGACTTTGCAGGGAGAGCCTCATCGCGTTCTGTTTGAATTTACTCCAGAGACCATAGAAGAGATGGAAGTCATGCCAGGGAATATCGTCTTTGTGCTTAAAAAAGGGAATGACAACTGGGCTACTGTGCTGTTTAATGGAAAGGTAATCAAAGCTTAGAGGGTTTTCATACAATTGTCCATGTTCATATAATGCAGATTAGGGAGCCCCGTTCTAGATATTTAAAGAGCAACTCCACTTTCGTGGGAATGCAATATGGCTACCTGGAGTGGTTCTGGACACAGATAGAGAACAGAACACCCCTTGGAGATGTCATTTCCTGCTTGAGCGATTGGCTCACTGATTTTCCCAGAAGTCTGCACTAAGATACAAGTCATATTTTGAGCATCCCCTGCAACAAAAATGTCATTTTTGGTGAGATACTCTTAAAGGGAAAATCACATCTAAAGAGATGCAGACCCTGCCCCTTTGCTCAGAGCCCTGCAGATGCAGTAGCTGATTATTATAAAACCACTCCCATACAGATTCACTCTGCACATGGACACAGTCAACTATTTCTTCATACTAACAAATGGTAGGAATCTTCAACAAAGTGTGTTAAAAACTCTGCAATGTACATAGATCAGGGCTTAAAATGTCAAGTCCTGAGCTACTAGCCAGGCCTTAAGAGTTACTCGCCACCAACAAACACACACAGAGACACATATATACACACACAGGCACATACAGACACGCATACACACAGATACATGTACATACACAGAAATACACACGCACAGACATGTACGTACAGACACAAACATGTACACACAGACACATGTACGTACATACACACAAACATGTACACATACACATGTACACAAACATACATGTACAGATACACACATGTACATACACACAGACACATGTACATGCATACACAGACACACACACACAAGTACACACACGAATGCTGTGAAGTGCTCTCTTCTCTCCCATGAAGCCACCACTGGCTGACATAGAGGATCATGTGACCAGAGTGAGCTGACACACACACACACACACACCCTATAAAAAGTTGCAGTACTTCGTTGTTCACTCACAGATCCGGGTACTGCACTCTAGGGGGAGGCAGAGAGCACAGCACACACTCCTTGCTTTGCTTTCACTGTGCTCAGCTATTGAGCAGTCTGACGGCTCCCAGTACCAGTGACAGATCCGGCCTGAGCTCCGAGCCTGCTCAGCAAGACAGCTCTGGGGGACTCACTCGCCCCCATCATAATTTCCACTCGCCATTGGCGAGCAGGCAAGTGGAAATTTCAAGGCCTGACATAGATCACCCAGAGGGGAATTTTTTTTTTCCTCAACAAAAGTGGAGTTACTCTGTAGAGGCTTTGGGATAATGTCAAAGACAATAAACTTTCATTCCAACTTGGAATCACTTAAACTGAACATGTGCTTTGCGCATACATGCCAAGCAACAAGTTAGACAGAGCATGCAAAACAACAGGTTAAATTTTAAGCTGGCCCCACCAGTTGCACAACCTACTTTCTCTATTTCCACTCAGTTTGGCAAAGAGTATGGAGAGCGAACCATGTATTTATAGTGACAATTCCCAGCTTGGAATTGAAGACTAAGGGCTAAAGACTTTCCCCCTGCTGCATGTGACGGCCCTCTGTGCATGAGTGCCGATCACTAATCACCAGTTCTGCCACGTGGAAGGGGAGTGAGGGACACTCTTCCATAACCAGGTATATATTTCTTTGCATCTGAATGGACCAGTGGAGAAGTGAAGGAAAGGCAGGCATGTTGTGCTGGTGGAGCCACTATTAAAGTGAACCTGTTGCTTTGCCCTGTATAGGAAAACTCAAATACCCATTTATGTGCTGTATATACACACACACACACACACACACACACACGTATGCATCAGGGCCATTTTATCAGTAATTCAACTGCATTTGTGAAATTGGACCGAATGCTCACATCTGTTTCTCAAATTATTATTATTATACAGTATTTATATAGCACCAATAGTTTGCTCAGCGCTGTACATAACAATGGGAGACAGTACACGAGACAGTACAGTAACAATACAATTTGATACACAAGGGGTTAGAGGGCCCTGCGATTTGGAGCTTACAATCTAGGAAATAATTAATAGATGCAGTTATATAATAACCTCATCCAAGCACAGATTTTGTTATTGCTAATCTGGGTTTTCCATCCTAACCATCTGACATCAGATATTGATTAAATGTGTCACTCCTTTTCATTTGCAGAGTTAATCATGAACAAGCTAGGGCTTAGGTTATGAACACACCTAAATGTTTTAATGACCACGGTCCTTGGCAGAAACTAAATACCCATTCTGTCTCTCTCCCTTTTTGCACTTTTTTTTTTTTTTTTTTTTTTTTTTTTTTAAATCTACAGGTGCTATAAAGCATTGCACCCATGATCAGCAGATTGTGGATGCAATGTCAGTCTCCTGCAAAGTACCTCCAATATGGGCAGGCAGTTACTTGAGAGCAGGACGATCAATGAACTGCAAAAAAGAAGTGAACAAAAGGACCCAGCAATCCATCCTCTACCCATGCTTTTGAAGTTTCACATAAAATAACTACACATATAAGGATTTAGGACTTCACGGTCTATACTCAGGACATTGACTCAAAAGTATTGAGTATTGTATCACCATGACAGACAAGCAAGTAGAATTTTTGGAAGAGAACAAAAGACGTCCATGCTAAAGACAGCGCTTATTCATTGCCCAGGGTAATGAATAAGTGCTGTCTTTAGTGTGAAAAGCTTTTACCTGCCAGTCCCTCACTTTATTTCCATGGTCTGTATTGATTTTATCTTGGTTCAATAAAGTGGATTGTTTGGAGTGCAGACGAGCGAACGTCTTTTGTTCTCATCTATGCAGAACACGAGTTGGGTTAGCACCTACAGGAGGAAATATGCTTGGATATTGGGAGTCTCTCTACCTTGAGCAGCGGTAATACATATAGAATTTTTGGAAGGTCACAATCACATACTACCTTTATCTCTCAGCACACACTTCCTTTTGTATTCCTTTTACATTAGCAATCCTGAGGGCATAGATATTACACATGTATCAGTGTACCATTTTTTGTGTTTCAGTGCAGAGAAAAATTATAAATTACTTCTATTAAAATATTTTATTCTTGTTTCTTTTCTGTGCTTCTCATATGTGTTTAGAAAGGGATAGTCCCATGCAATTACCTGGAGCCAGTTGAGTTGAAATTTCAGTCCCAAATTCAGGTAAGCATATGTTACCTCTTAGTAAAAACTAAAACTTTCAGGATCCTAGAACTCATGGCTTTAAATTGGTTGTAAACCTCAAATATGACAAAGCATATCCCTCTATATTGTGTGCCTATCTCAATCCAGAGCACTAAGTGTTCCTCTGCTATCTGCATGAATCATTTCTGATGAGTTTTCCTGACACCAAGAGAACAATGGTGGCAGGAGAGGGAGCTCCAGCAAATTGACAGCATTGACTCTGTGCCTGTGAGCCTTGTGAAGGGGGGAGTGTGTTTCTTCCCTCCAATCAGCTCTCTCTGACAGTCCCAGCTCCATGTACAGAGTGGTGGGGAGAACTGTACAATCAATGGTGTTTGAGCACTCAGTTCTCAGCCTTAGAGCTGGCGGGGGGCAGATGCAGCATTGGTAAATACGATTAAAAAAAAAACAAAAAAAAAAAAAAAAAACAACTCAATACTTCTCTTTTAATTAAATTTAAGCAAGGAAGATGAAGTATACATAGCTGCTATGTTGAAAATTCTATTATGTCAGGGCATGCAGACTAGTCAGTGGACTTTCATAGGAGGAAGTTCTAGTTTGCCTAGCAATTTAACTAAGAAATGACTCGCCTGCCTAAGTCAGATCCCAAGATTGGTATGTGGGGAATGCTGCAAGACCTCAAAACACGTTGATTCATTGCCTTGTATGGAATCTGCTCTATCTTCATCTCTATGTGGAGCAAATGAAGGTGAAGATGAGAAGTTTTTTTCATGGTTAACTTGTTTTACAGGCAGCAGAATCAAAACAAGATGAAGGATCAGCCAATGGTGGTTCAAAAGAGGCTGACATTCCAGCACCACCAACTACTTCTGCCCCTAATGTACCTAGGAATCACCAAGGTAAGGCTCTTTGAAAGTTGCTTAGTTACTCTAACTTTTAGATCTTGTTTGTTAATATAAAGATGACGAATGCTGAGAGTTGTAGGAAACCAATAGCAGGTAACCTATTATCTGGTGTGACCACATATAAAGATTACACAAGAAAATATACCACCATTTAAGTGAAAAAAAAAATCAATTTCTTGTGAACACACCAACACAATCAACATAAAACATACTGCATGTAAATCCACAATCCAATAAACCAACCAATGAAACACACATACAGTGAAAACGAACCCAACATATATTATAGTGCAAAGATCAGTAATGTAATGGGCAGCTAGCAGTCCTCTAAAACTGAGATTTTCGTTTTTGGTAGATGCTGAAGAGATTTACCACGTTCTGATCTCTTATAGCTCTTGAAGACTATTAGTTAGAAGTCTGCATTTGATATCCTGGGTCTGCAAATCTGCTACGGTCATTATGAGGGATTAAAACTCTCTGTAGGATTTTGTATGTAATGAAGAATGCAGCTTGAGAAGCTGAGACACACAAAATGGAGTGGAAGCACGTAACACTCTTTGGTGAGCAGGAACAGTTGGGAAATACGGCTTGCTGTTGAAGTATCCAAGACATACAAGAAGACAGGGACTGAGCTAGCCAATTAGCCCCTAACTATAACTAAAATATGACTTTCAGGAAACTAAGACTTTAACTTTATGAAAGACTTGCTGGCATATGTATGACTGACACATTCAGGCCTCTGAACTGTATAACTAAGAGAAGACCTAATTCATTATGTGTGTTTTACGAGAACATCAGGGGCGGACTGACAACTCATGGGGCCCCTGGGCAATAGAGGATCATGGGGCCCCTGTGTCCTTGCCCAAAGTCAAAAAGCCTATGAAAAAGGTACCAGGGGAATCTCATGGGCCCCCTACTGACCCTGGGCCCTTGGGCAGTGCCAAGTTTCCAAATGGTCAGTCCGCCCCTGGCGAACACACATATATTTTATTAATATAGGAACAGTGGTAACTATTGTTAGAACTATTTCAGTTAATCGCAATTCAGAAAAAAAGGTAGCAAACAGCTGAAGATGTATTAAGGGGTTAAACTAGGGTGTTCTGGCTTAGTATAGCAAACAATGGTACATCACAATCACTATGAATTACAATGCAATTTCCAATTCTTTATAAGGTCTTCCTCATTTTATATTATGTAAGAAATGTTTTGATTATAACCATGTTCCTATTTTGAATAAATATTCTGTAAATTGTAAGATACTTATATGAGCAGATGATCTTAACTTCCATTTTTAATATGTTTGGTAAACCTTTGCACAAGCAGAATTTGTGTTTATTCCAATCACAAAGCTGAACTTTTGCACTGGTCTGGTGGTACATGCTCATTTGGCTCACCTCAAGTGTTACACTGTTGTACATGTATCACCAGACTGTTACTCTTAGTTTAGCTCCAATTTTGCCTATGTAAAAGAGTATGGAAAGCCAAGGATTCCCCTAGGCTGAGGAAAAAAAGTAAGTATTTTACTAGGAATTTGAGGGTTATAAAAGTAGTGCGAGTCATATTTTGTGTACTCAAGTTCAGCTTGTAGGGTTTGTGCCATCACTGACAACCATGTCTTTCTTTCTAGATAAACAAGCCACACCTAGCACCAGAGAGAAGTCATCCTCAGCTGTATGTTCATTAAGAGGTTAATTTGGTTTTGAAACCGCAAGCTACATTTTTTGTAACAAAATCAAAAGGAATATACCACCACATTGTATATTTAGGGATTGAAACTCTCTTCTCAGCCAATCAAGTTACATTTGTCACTCTGTGAGATTACGACAAAGTCTGGTTGATTGCTATGGGCCTTTTATTATACAAAGGCTGGCTTTCTTGACAATCAATACAAACATGTAGTCATGTTAATTCCTTACCAGTATCTGTTAATGTTAATTTATTACCAATTGTTTTACACAATTAAACACAATACCAACATTAAAAACAAATGTATAGGAAATACTGGAAGGCTGGTGGCGTGCAGTTTATAGTACTGCCATTGATACCCAGTGCACAGGAGAATATGGTTACCTGATACTGCACTATTTTGTGGTTACGGTGGAAGTATGGAAAAAAAAAAATCAAACCTAGCCTCCTGAATAGAAGGCAGCTTTTTCTTACTTCTGGACAGCCATATGACTGATCTAAAACAATGTTGTGAAATTTGTCAAATGGTTATTGATATGGGCCAATGTTGAGCACAGTGACTGTGTATTGCTTTACTAAAGTGTGTATTATCAAAATCACATGGGTTACCACAATGTAGGAAACAAGACAAGAGGTAAGAGGTTTGCCAACCAAACATGCAATGTGCCTTGGAATTTATTAGCATAGACTTAAATAAATCCACCAAACATTGATAGACCACTGTTAGATGGCCAATGTTGGTTTGCACCATCTCCTGATATCTTATACATCTTAGAGACACCAGGAGTAAATGGTAAATCATTGGTCAGGGTTATTACATAGCCAAGTGAAAGAGTCTATCTATCTATCTCCTACAACTCATTTTCTCGAACATGTAAAAAAAAAAAAAAAAAAAAAATTATATATCTACTACAGTCAGGGACATTATCCATTACATATAAAGGAAGGTTGGTGTCACAATGTGATGATAATGGGGGAGATTTACTAAAACCGGAGCAATCAAAATCTGGTGCAGCTGAGCATGGTAGCCAATCAGCTTCTAACGTCAGCTTTTTCAGTTAAGCTTTGACAATAAAACCTGGAAGGGAATTGGTTTCTATACAGAGCTGCACCAGATTTTGCACAGTGCAGTTTTAGTAAAATTACCCCCAATACCTTAAGGTAGCCAATAAAAGGGCATCATTTCAACTGAAAACCTCCCTATTCACCAAATATAGAAATCTTTGTTCTGGGTGAACTTAAAACACTTAGAGGCATATTTAGAAAGCCATGAATGTGACTGTCACCAAACATTCACTAGTGGTGAATCAGTCACTATCATTTAAAACACATGCACAAGGAAAATTCACCTGCAGTTAATATTTGGTGAATGTTAGATTCACTGCTTTGTAAATACTGTATGTACTTAACTTCTAGAACCTGAAGACAGTATTTGGACGAGGGACTTGGTTGTTCAAATGGAGTTATAAAACAAAAAAAAAAAAGCCTCGAGTGAGATATGTCCCTTGTGCTGTTGAGTCTTGTTTAGCAGAAATCTTACCCCTCCAACGCTACCCCAACTCCCCCCCAGCCCAAGAAAATCACAGCAGCAGGGGTTGATACAAAGGAAGCTGTAGAAGGCACTCCACAAAGAATAACTGACTGTGTCTGCCCTTTCCACCCAGTTCTTCTCAATAGAAGATGTCACTATAGCTTCTATGAATGAATTGTGATCTATGAATGGAGGGGACAGACCTTTCCATCATTCGCCCATCCATTCATAGGAGCTGTTATCACCACACCAGAAGATAATGGCAGCGGGGGTAAGGTGGAAGGCAGGAGAATGATTTTTACTAAATGAAGACACAACAGCACAAGGGACACATCTCACCGAGGTATGTAATGTCCCTTTTGTTTATCTTTTTATATAAATTTAGGCTAAGTCTTTGTAGATTCTCAAATATTTTTTTTCTCTCTTGTCCATAGGAAAAAGCTGCAACAACAGCAGCAGCATCATATCTTGTAAAAGTGTATTACAAGTACACAATAGCCATACAGGTATCTCACCAGCTTTGCTATGGAGATCTGCTGATTCTTGTCAGCAGCAAACTGAAGTTGATGCCTTCTACTATCATACTCAGGTAAGCTCTTATTAGAGAATAGTAAAAGAATCAAAATGAAGAATACTAAAAATCCATTAAACAGATTGACATCCATTATAACACAGACTTTTAACATTTAAATTCTCACTTAAATATTATTGAGCACAAAACGTATCAGAGTTGCAGTCAGTCTTTCTGTATAACTCAGTCAACTAAAACATCACTTGGAGGCTTGAATTATTGGAAAGCTTTGCTAGACTGTCATAGTTACATAGTTAGTCTGGCTGAAAAAAAGACAAAAGTCCATCCAGTTCAACCAAAAAAAAAAAAAAAAAAAAGTTATAATCCTATACCCACAGTTGATCCAGAGGAAGGCAACCCCCCCACAGCAAACCATGATCCTATTTGCTCTTGCAGGGGAAATAATTCCTTCCTGATCCCCCGAGAGGCAATCGGATATTCCCTGGATCAGCTTACCTATAAATGTTAGTATCCAGTTATATTCTGTGTATCCTGGAAAGAAGTCAACAAAGATCCATTATCCCCTGCACTCAAAGACTCATATCAAACGGGTGTTAGTAACAAACCGTGTGTTCATCCACTGGTGATCAGAGGCTGTGCAGCTCCATCATGAAGCTGGGGAAGCTTGACAAAACTGTAGAAGGAGATGAAAGAAATAACGCACAAACCTTGCGCATTACCTCAATAAATAGTGACTAATTTTATTTAGGAAATATACTCACAAAAGTGATGGTAAAACAGGCATTAGTAAACCATAATCCACACAGGATTACAGGTAAATCCAAAGGGGGAGGGGGGGAATACAAGCTAACGCGTTTTTGTGCGCGCTTTCATCTCCTTCTACTATCCTGGAAAGAATCCAGGCCTTTTTTTTAAGCAATCCACTGAGCTGGCCAGAACCAATTCTTAAGGGAGTCTATTCCACATGTTCACAGCTCACTGTGAAGAAACCTTTCTGTTTTTGGAGATTAAATCTCTTTTCCTCCAGCCAAAAAAAGTGCCCCCTTGTCAATTAAAAAAAAAAAAATCTACATACTGAAATTTAGTTGTGTTTTATGTTTCACTGCTCTTTAAAACAGACTATTTAACCTGAAGTGGTATGTGAGGTAGATGGTACATTTATCCTATACTCATTCACCTATACATAGTCATAGACCTAAGGGTACAAGCATGCAAGGAAAACACAAGAAATTATTACAGAATAATGTACACCATAGAAGGCTTGTGCACGTTTCAAAAAATAAAACACATAAGGATGATATACTAGAAGCAGATTTCCCATATAACTTCATAATCGCAAGAGGGTCCAGAGCTTCCGTTCTTGAAAGAACTAGGGTTTAGAAAGAGAGTAGAGTTTCTGTAAATCACAGATTCAGTCAGGTTGACAGATCCTAAGATTTTAAATGTGGGATGGTGTGGTAAACATAGACTGCTTGAGTGCTGGGCAGTTCAGATAGCTAAAAGCTGGCACACTCCATACAGTGTAGCACGCATGAAGAATATATATATATTTTTTTGCTTATTGCTGCATATTCTGGCTTGTCTACCATCAATTACACATTTTACCACCAAGCACATCTTTATTAACAACTTGCCCTCCTGAGGATTTATCCCCCTTCCTGACCAGGCCCACTTTTTGCGTTACGGTGCTGCATTACTTTAACTGACAATTGGGCGGTCATGCAATGCTGCACCCAAATGAAATGTACGTCCTTTTTTTTCCCCCACGAATAGAGCTTGGTGGTATTTGATCACCTGTGCATATTTTATTATTTACTACTATTATTTTAGAGATTGCAATTTTGGGACTGTTACCTATACCCTGAGTGCTAGCTGCTATACTTTTACTCATATTGATATATATATATTTATTTTTTTAATATTGTATAATGGCCTTTAGCGCTCGCTCTATTATCTTTTTGCATACGCTGACACTGTACTAATAGCCATGGGCAGGAAGGGGTTAACATGTGGGGCAATCAAAGGGTTAACTGTGTGCTGTTTTACTGTAAGCTGTGTGTGTGCGCACTTTCAACTGTAAGCACATTGCTTTGTATGGCTCTGCTATGCACAGCCATACAAGACAGTGTGCAGGAGCTGATAGGGGAGAGAACTATATTGTTTACATACAGTTCCCTCCCCTGTCGGTAATTCTCAGCAATCATCGTGCACCGACGAGTAATCACCGGCCAGGACCTGGTGATTGACAGCTGAGGCTGGGAATAGCGGTGCGGGTATGCGCCCCCTACCTGGAAATGCAAAATCACGTATATACAGGTGAAACTCGAAAAATTAGAATATCGTGCAAAAGTTTATTTATTTCAGTAATGCAACTTAAAAAGTGAAACTAATATATGAGATAGACTCATTACATGCAAAGCAAGATAGTTCACGCCGTGATTTGTCATAATTGTGTTGATTATGGCTTACAGCTCATGAAAACCCCAAATCCACAATCTCAGAAAATTAGAATATTGTGAAAAGGTGCAATATTCTAGGCTCAAAGTGTCCCACTCTAATCAGCTAATTAAGCCATAATACCTGCAAAGGGTTCCTGAGCCCTTAAATGGTCTCTCAGTCTGGTTCAGTAGGAATCACAATCATGGGAAGACTGCTGACCTGACAGTTGTGCAGAAAACCATCATTGACACCCTCCATAAGGAGGGAAAGCCTCAAAAGGTAATTGCAAAAGAGGATGGATGTTCCAAAAAAACCATATCAAAGCACGTTAATAGAAAGTTACTGTATGTGGAAGGGAAAAGTGTGGAAGAAAAAGGTGCACAAGCAGCAGGGATGACCGCAGCCTGGGGAGGATTGTCAGGAAAAGGCCATTCAAAAGTGTTGGGGACTTTCACAAGGAGTGGACTGAGGCTGGAGTCAGTGCATCAAGAGCCACGACACACAGACGGATCCTGGACATGGGCTTCAAATGTCGTATTCCTCTTATCAAGCTGCTCCTGAACAACAAACAACGTCAGAAGCGTCTTACCTTGGCTAAAGAAAAACAGACCTGGTCTGTTGCTCAGTGGTCCAAAGTCCTCTTTTCTGATGAGAGCAACTTGTGCATCTCATTTGGAAACCAAGGACCCAGAGTATGGAGGAAGAATGGAGAGGCATACACTGCAAGTTGCTTGAAGTTCCAGTTTGAAATTTCCACAGTCTGTGTTGATTTGGGGAGCCATGTCATCTGCTGGTGTTGGTCCACTGTGCCTCATTAAGTCCAGGGTCAATGCAGCCGCCGTCTACCAGGAGATTTTGGAGAACTTCATGCTTCCTTCAACAGACTAGCTTTATGGGGATGCTGACTTCATTTTCCAGCAGGACTTGGCACCTGTCCACACTGCCAAAAGCACCAAAACCTGGTTCAATGACCGTGGAATTACTGTGCTTGATTGGCCAGCAAACTCGCCTGACCTGAACCCCATAGAGAATCTATGGGGCATTGCCAAGAGAAAGATGAGAGACATGAGACCGAATGATGCAGAAGAGCTGAAGGCCGTTATTGAAGCATCCTGGTCTTCCATAACACCTCAGCAGTGCCACAGGCTGATAGCTTCCATGCCGCGCCGCATTGAGGCAGTAATTGCTGCAAAAGGGGCCAAAACCAGGTACTGAGTACATATGCATGCTTATACTTTTCAGAGGTCCGATATTGTTCTATGTACAGTACTTGTTTTATTGATTGCATGTAATATTCTAATTTTCTGAGATTGCGGATTTGGGTTTTTCATGAGCTGTAAGCCATAATCATCACAATTATGACAAATCACAGCTTGAACTATCTTGCTTTGCATGTAATGAGTCTATCTCATATATTAGTTTCACCTTTTATGTTGCATTACTGAAATAAATGAACTTTTGCACGATATTCTAATTTTTCGAGTTTCACCTGTATACACGTGATTTTGTGCATCCCTGCCGCCCTGTAGCGGTATATGTGCTATAGGGGGGCGGGAAAGCGGTTAATGGCCGACTTTCTACACCAAATCCACTCATGTATAACTTGTTCTGCAAAGGATTAGTAAACCAAACTGTCATCTGTTTAGTTTCAGAGATGGAGAAACAGACGTACCACTAACTACAGATAATGTGGAAAGAGCATGGGAGCTAAGCACAGACAATTGCCTAAAACTCAAGTGCACGGATGTATATGTAAGAATGACTGTGTGTGTCCTATTGTGGGATAGGGTACATGGGTAACATGCAGGAGTATCCTGTACCAATCATTTTCACACAGGAATGGAGCATTGTGTAATGAAGTGAGAATGATCACTACTACAACCCCTGGCAAAAAGTATGGAATCTCCACTCTTGGAAAATGTTCATTCAATTAATTGTGTATAAAAAAAAAAAAAAAAAAAACAAAAAAAAAAAAAAAAAAAACAAACAATCACAGACATGCCTCAAGACTATTTCAATTTAACATTCCATCCTTCTGGCTTTAAGGAACACTTAAGGGAAAAAAAAAAAGAGAAAGAAGGAAAACTGTAGTCGGTTGCAACTGTTTTTGCAGATCATGCAGAGGAAAAAAATATGGAACCACTCAATTCTGAGGAAAATATTATGGAATCATGAAATAAAAACAAAAACCCTACAGTACACCACTAGTACTTTGTTGCACCACCTCTGGCTTTGATAACAGCTTGAATTCTCTGAGGCATAGATTTAACTATCGACAAACAGTATTCTTCATCAATATGGATCCAACTTAATCCTATTGCAGTTGCCAGATCAGCTTTGCAGGTTGGAGCCTTGTCGTGGACCATTTTATTTCCACAATAGATTTTTAATTGGATTGAGGTCCGGACTATTTGCAGGCCATGCTATTGACATTACATGTCTTTCTTGAAGGATAGTTTTCATGGCTTATGCCCTATGGCAAGATTCATTATCATCCTGAAAAATGTCATCGTCACCAAACATCCTTTCAATTGATGGAATAAGAAAGGTGTCCGAAATCTCAATATAAACTTGTGCATTTATTGACAACTTAATGACTGTCATCTCCCCCGTACCATTACCTGACATGCAACCCTACATCTTCGATTGTGGAAATTTGCATGTTTTTTCTTCAGGCAGTCATCTTTATACATTTCATTAGAAAGGCACCAAAGTTCCAGCATAATCACCCTGCCCAATGCAGATTCGTGATTCATCACTGAATATCATTTTCGTTCAGTCATCCACAGTCCATGATTGCTTTTCTTTAGCCCACTGTAACTTTTGTTTTTTCTGTTTACGTGTTATTGAAGGTTTTTGTTTGCCTTTTCTGTATGTAAATTCCATTTCCTTTAGGCGAGGTCTTACAGTTCGGTCACAGACATTAACTCCAGTTTCTGCCCATTTTCTCCTCATTTGTTTTGTTGTGCATTTTCTGTTTTCAAGGCATATTGCTTTAAGCTTTCTATCTTGACGCTTTGATGTCTTTGTATTTGGTCCAGATTTTTAACACAGCTGACTGGGAACAACCAACATCTTTTGCAACATTTCGTGATGATTTACCTTTTTGAAGAAGTTTTATAATCCTCTTCTTGATTTCAACAGACATCTCTCATGTTGGAGCCATGATTCATATCAATCAGCTTGGTGCAACAGCTCACCAAGGTGTGCAAGCACTCTTTTCTGACAAATCCATGTCAGCACAACTGGGTAAGGGCCTCATGGTCTTTCAAGGCAAGCATCTCAGGCCATACTTGGGAGATCTTTCATCCTTCACACCTCAGATTGGGCTACATAAATTGCCTCCTTCCAGCAGGTCAGGTAGTCTCAGTTGAACTCTCACCCAATTTCAAGTTGGGTTTCTGGACTGGTAGCAGTCAGAGGGCCTAGGTCAGAAGATATGGATTAGCCCTGTATGAAAGGGAGCCTAAATTTGTGGTTGGAGAACTAGAATCTTCTGCGATGTCATTCCCATCTGACAACCTAGTGGCTGGGGGTGCAGTCAGACACCAGCACAGTAGTTGGAGAGCCCTAATTCAGGAGCAATGGGTTGAGGACCAGTGGTCTTTTTCAAGGGTCCAAGATGGTGTCCAACATCCTGGAGTTAAGAATGGAATTTCAGGCTCTTAGCCTTCAGTCACCTCATTCAGGGTGGACCTGTCCTGGTGAAGTTAGACAGCACAAAGACTGTGGCCTACATCCAGAAACAAGGGGCACTCAGTTTCTCCCTCCTGAAGGTGGTTTCTCAGATTCTATAGTAGGCCCAAGTCAATGTCTTGCAGCTATCTGTGGCCTATGTGCCCTGTCAGAAGAATCTTTAGGCAAACTATTTGTCCAGGAACAACCTAGCGATAATGAATGGTCCAGACGGCCGCAAGTCTTTCGAGAACCAACGGGCTTGCTAATTTCTACCAGAGGTAGACCTGTGCACATCCCCAGTCAACAATAAGTTGCTGAAGTTCTATTCTATGGTCCACCATCCACAAGCAATTGGGGTGGAGGTGTTGATTGCAGAGTGGATTCTCCAGGACAGCTTATAACTTTCTGCCTCTCCCTCTGATTTGCAGCTTCCTGCTGAGGCTGTGGTAGGGGAAGGTGATAGTTCTGGAGGTGATCCCAGATCGGTCGAATGGGCCTTGGTATCCTTTGCCCCTCCTAATGTGTGTCAAGGATCCACTACCTCTGCTAGTAAGATCGAATCTTCCCCAAAGTCCCATTCGTCCAACACCTGACAGGCTCCAGCTCATGGCTTGGTTTTTGAGGCAGAGGCTAGTAGTTCTCGGGTACTATGTAAAGGTTGTGGATACTATTATGAAATCAAAGAACCACACTAACCATGCCTATAGTAGAATATGACAAATTCACAGGATTGCTGCTGATCAAGGTTTTACACTGGGCTCTTCACAAGTCTGTCACATTCTGACATTTCTGCAGGCAGGGCTTGATTTAGGTTTATGCATATGTACGCTATAGGCCCACATTTCAGCTATCTCTGCCTTCACCAGCATGCAGTGGGCATCCAACACTCAATTATACTGTTCTTCAAGCTGTAACTTGGTTGAAACCTACCTAAGAGATTGCCTGGGGGTTTAAAGAACCCTTTCTTACATTCACCATTCAGACTGGGTGTTACTTAGGCAGATGCTCAAGATGGTGTCTAAGTGGCTTTCAGAGTCCATATCACACAAAAAGTTGTCCTTCATATGTCCCTCTTGGGGAGTACCAAGAAGTTAACCCATCAAATGTGGGCCAAGTTTTAAAATGTTACATCACAGCAACATCTGGCCTCAGGAAGTCTGAGCACTTGTTTGTCATTCCAGGTGGAGTATGTAATGATTTCACGGCTTCCAATAAAATTATTGCCTCTTCGTTGGTGAAGCTCATTACTTTGGCCTACAATTTGAAAGGGTTGGCTGTGCAAGGGGGGACCGCCTCACTGTCTACTCAAAAGGGCCTCAACCTTGTGAGTGGCAGTAGGTTGAGTGTTCCCAGACACTATCTACAAGACAGGAACGTGGGCATCAATATACATATATTCATGGCTCATTACTGTATAGAAGCAGTCTTAATGACAGTTGACTGAGGCATCCTGGCTTCAGCCAGAATTCAGGAGTGTGTAGCATTATCCCTCCCCTGTGTGGCTAGTTAGTTCCCAGCTGGGCTGACATGGAGCTGTCAGAAAACGGAATGACAGATACTTACCGTAATTTTCCTTTCCTGATGAGCTCCATGTCAGCACAATTCCCACCCAGCTTGGTAGGACTAGTTACAGAACGCTGAGGCTGCAGGTTAGCTCAAATGTATGAGTTAGATCCTTGAAGCATTGGGCAGGTTCCTTACCCAGCTGTGCTGACATGGAGCTAGCAAGAAAGGAAACTTGCTGTAAGTATCTGTCATTCCATTTTTAGTTTTGGTAACTGCAGAACAATTAGCAGATGCAATCTGATGCAGATTTTTGTTTTAGAACTGCAAAGTACATTCCATAATGGTGATTCCATATTTTCCTCAGAATTGAGCGATTCCATATTTTTTTCCTCTGCTTGATCTGCATAAAGAGTTGCAATTGACTACAAGTTTTCTTTATTTTAAGTGTTTCTTAAAGCCAGAGGTTGGAATATTAAATGAAAATAGTTTTGAGGTATGTCGAAATGTTTTTTTTTCTATGCAATTAAATAATTGAATGAACATTTTCCAAGAGTAGTGATTCCATACTTTTTACCAGGGGTTGTATATGCTACCTGTGTAGCCTGCTCCAAAGGGAGTCATTGTTTAGCAGTCATCTGCTACACCTAGCATTTATAGTAGAATTCCAAGTTAGGACTATCTAAGCTTAAAACTGCTCTCATCCCCATTCTGACAGCTTTTCTAACTACTCTGTAGATGGAAGATGCAATACTTATCTATTCTCAGGGTCCGAGCTTATTTACTGCGAGGCAATCAAGACGTTTGCCTAGGGCAGCATTTTTATCCCCCCCCCCCCCCCGAAGAAAGGACGCATAAAGCAGGTGCCCAAGTCCAGTCTGGAGGGAGACAGGGCAGGTAGCCAGGCGAGGGGCGATCATCTGATAGACAGCTGACCCAGCAGGGAGAACTCACACTCACATTGGTGAAGTGTGGGAACTCCAGCACACAATATTGCTGATCTCTCCCCGATCCTTTGCTTATACCTCCGCTGCAACTGCCCAGCTGTCACTTGTCCTCCACTCCTCTTCCCCTGGGTGATCAGTGATTTCCCCCCCCCCCCCATGGCTGCCCCAGCTCCAGCTCCACCCCACCTCCCTCTGGTCTGCTTGCAGCGAGATCACCAAGGAGTTCCAGACATCCTGACAGGTCCTATGACAGGAGTTTAAGAAGAGGCTGTGGCTGCAGGAGTGGATCCTGGCAGCTCATCCTTCTCTGTGACTGCCAGGTGAGGGTAACAAATCGTACAACATCCCTCTCCCCTTCTGTCTTTTTTCTCCCTTTTTTTTCTCTCATCTGGGGGTGGGGGGTGTGAGCCCAATTTTGGCTCAGGGTGCCCCAGTCTGGTCCCTTGATCTCCCCAGCAGCCAGCTATAGCTGAGAGAACACCAACAATGGATGAACTGCCTGGGCGATGACATTTCCCTTATATTTACTATGGTAAATCTGTTGTTGGCTGTCTATCCTGGAGCCGGCCACTGGGAGACAATCAAGTGACTGGAGCACCCTGAGGACAGGTAAATATATGCATCTTCCTTCTACAAGGTAGTTGGTATATAATGTTAGAAGGGGAATAAGAGCAGCTTTCGGCTTTGTTGGTTCTAGCTTGGAATTCCACTTTAACTCACTATCAAATTTAGTAGCAGGATTGAGCCACTAAATATCTCCTGTGTAGTTTTGGCCAATTCAGGTGGCTACCCGTAAATAGTTACATCTTAAGCTGACCATGTATTGTAAGATTTTCATTTGAATGCCTGTAGAAAAATTTGTCAGAACATTCTTTTTTGCGATCATGAAGTCAACTGATTTCATCCAGACCTGCTGTTTGCATGGAACCCCAACCATAATAAACAGGTTTCACAAAATATATGATTTTTTTCCGAACACAACTCACCTTCATTGAATTTTGAAAATAAATTTTTTGAATACTCCTTCAAAAGATCTTGTTACTACGCTCAAAAATGATTGTCAATTTGATCCTTGTAACCATTAGCAAATCGAATGGTTATTCCAAAAATCCATTTCAAACAAAATTCTGCTGGTGTTACATTAGCTGGCATAGCAAAATAATAAAACTGCTAGCATAGCTCTAGCCTGGAACTAAAATAAAGCATGGGAGTTTCATTATTTTCTCTGTTCTGCCCCCAAGAAAAAAATCTTTTAACATAGAAACATTACATATACTGGCACTTTTATTTATTTATTTATTTTTTTTAAATGACAATTAATGAACTGTTACTTAATATGCAAAGTTCCAAATACAGCCATAAAACGGTGTTGTGGATTTGTTTTTTTTGGCCATTTCTACTACATATTGAAATGCAAAGATAATTGGGACATAAGTATGGGAGTAAAAATTAGAGATATGTTTGAGAGTGCATCTTCCTGACAGGTTTCTGTGGCAGAAATGATCATGTTTTGACACCTAGGTAGAAGAACCTCTGGTAAGAATGGAGAATGCAGAAAATCCTGTTCAGTCGCAAGAGAAAGCAGGGAAGGTGGTAACAGCCCTCTTCGATTATGAGGCCTCCCAACCAGAAGATCTACCATTTAAAAAAGGAGATATAATAAATGTCTTGAATAAAGGTGAGTAATATCTACAAGGGTCAATAAATTCCATAGACAGCCGATA